AGTGCCTCGAACGTATAGTCAGAAAACAAATATGTGCACACCTGGTGACCCATGGACTTCCTTCTCCTGCACAGCACGGGTTTACCAGGAATGAGTCGCGTCTAACTAATCTACTTATGTTTCTCGATGAGACTAGACGTCGATTAGATCAGGGTAGGGCAGTGGAGGTATGTTACTTAGGCTTCAACAAGGCTTTTGAATCGGTGAGTCTTAAGTTGCTGGACACGAAGCTACCAACTTTTGGAATAATCGGGTCAGCGCGCCGGTGGCTGAAGCATTTTCTTAAAACCGTAGCTTCACTGAACGGGTTGGCAGTTATGCTTCGAGATCAGAGAGAGTTACAAGCGTGGTGCCCCAAGGCTCTGTTCTTGGGCCCTTCTTTTCCATCTATTCATCAACGATCTCACGCTAGAATTGCACAACCCCTGTTTTATCCTTACAGACGATGTGAAGATACCGGGTGAGAACTTAACCCAGGACCTAGATGCAGTTCGCAGCTGGTCGGCTCGATGGGATTTACCCCTGAATATGGCCAAATGTCAGCTACTGACGAACAATGTAGACTCATCCGGGGACGCAGCGCCACGTGGCGCGAGAGAGGTGAAAGTCCTAGGGACAATTGTCACAAAGGACTTCTGGCCCACAAGACAATGTCAGGTGGCTGCAAATAAAGCAAGAGGAGAACTCTTCAGGCTGCGGACCACAGTTACATACAGGAAGCCAGAAGTGTTCGTTCCGCTGTACAAGGCAGTGGTGCGTCCACTGCTGGAATACTGTTGCCAACTTGGACTCCATACTATCGCAAAGATATGGAGTGTCTAGAGAGGGTACAACAAATGGCAACCAGAATGGTCACTGGACAGATAGGAAAGATCTGCTCGCAGCGTCTGAAGGGTCTGAATCTTTTCTCGTTGTCACTCCAAAGGACCAGGGGCGACTTGATAGATGCCTTCAAGATAGTTAAGGGGTTGTTGGGCATAGAACTAAGCAGTTTCTTCGTTCCTGCACCAGGGTGCGGCACTAGAGGTCATAGACTTAAGCTGCAAAGGGAGCACTCCAGGTTGGAGTTGAGGGCCAGGTTCTTCACAAACCGGTTGGTGCCTTTGTGGACTAGATTGTCGGAGAATATCATAAGCTACTCAACAGTTGTGGCCTTTAAACAGGCCTTGGATCTGTGCTGGGATGTGGTTTTCCCGGAGCTGCCCAGTTGAGGGACAATAACGGAATAAGGTGAGTCGTTCCTGTATTAATGTATTTCATTTCTACATATCT